ACGGGGTGGGGCCTATGGAGATCGCCTTGGGTTAGGGGATCGGGTGGAGGCCGCGCGTTAATGAGCCAGGAGAGAATCCTTACGTTGGGCTACTTAGCTGTGCGTGGGGCTCAGCTGTCAGGTAAGTAGCCTCGGGCCAGGTTGAGGTTAAGGCTGGCCCGAGGCTTCGAAGCCAGATTAGGGGCTCCAGCCACCCCTCCAGAGCGTGTGATTATAAATTGGGATTCCTAGAGCCCCAGAAATATTAACCAGTTTTGTTGCTTTTGGGGGATGCGGTAAATGGGACGTGACGGTTTGTCCCCTCTGGCTTCCCGCTAATCTGCCTTCACAGGAGACGCCAACCAACGAGCTGAGCGTCCAGGGCCCCCCCGAGGGGGACACGGACCCGTCAACGCCTCCAGCGCCCCCGACGCCTCCCCACCCCGCCACCCCCGGAGATGGGTTTCCCAGCAACGACAGCGGCTTTGGTGAGGGCGGGCCCAATGGGGCAGGAGGGGGCGGGAGCCATGGGGCGGACGGGGCGGGGCCTATGGGGTGGGAGGGGCGGGACCGGAGGGCTGGAGCGCCGCAGGTGCCTGCGGCCTGACTGCGGTCTTCTGCTGCAGGAGGCAGTTTCGAGTGGGCGGAGGATTTCCCCCTCCTCCCCCCTCCAGGCCCCCCGCTGTGCTTCTCCCGCTTCTCCGTCTCGCCTGCGCTGGAGACCCCGGGGCCACCCGCCCGGGCCCCCGACGCCCGACCCGCAGGTACCATATCCTCGGCCCTGCCCCTCCTCTGCCCATCTCTGTCCCCTTATGTTCCACTGCCAACTTCTTGTGACCATCTTTCAATGTCCCTGCCTCTCTCTTCCCAGTCTCTTCTCTCTCCCCTCTCAGTCAACAGACACCCCACCCAGCTCTGGAACCAGCTCAGACCAGGTGATGTCCATCAGACGGTCATAGGCAGGCAGGCCGGCTGTCCCCAACCCCTGAGCCTCAGTTTCGCCTTCTGTGGGGATTCCCCCCACCCCCAACTCTTGCCCATCTTTGTCCCATCTCTGGGCTCAGACTCCGGTCTGGCACTTGCCGGATCCTGATCCCACCTCTGGGGAACACGGTGCTCAGGGGCAGACAAGGAGAGAGAAACCCAGAGTGCTCAAAGCCGGCTGGTGTGAACCAGAGCAGGGAGGACACAGCTGGGGGTTAGAGAGCAGTCACAGCGGCACCGCTGCTCTCGCGTGGACCCTGCAGTGCCTCACCACAGTTTAACCCATTTAATGTTCACTGCGATCCCATGGGGTGGATTCTAGTCTCGTCCTCATTTTTTTTTTTTTTTTTTTTTTTTTGAGATGGAGTCGCTCTGTCGCCCAGGCTGGAGGGCAGTGCTCAACGCAACCTCCGCCTCCTAGGTTCAAACGATTCTCGTGTCTCAGCCTCCCAAGTAGCTGGGTTCACAGGCATGCACCACCACGCCCAGCTACTTTTTTTGTATTTTTACTACAGACAGGGTTTCACCATGTTGGCCAGGCTGGTCTCTAACTCCTGACTTCAAATGATCCGCCCACCTCGGCCTCCCAAAGTGCTGGGATTACAGGCGTAAGCCACCGGGCCTGGCCAATCTCATCCCCATTTTACAAACGAGAACACCGAGGCACGGAAAGAAGTGAGGAGCTGGGATTCAAAGCGGCAGTTGCTCGGCCTCTGAGTCTGTGCCCTCTCTAGTAGTGAACATTGGTCAGGTTTCTTTCCTGGAGTTTCATATGCACCATATCGTTACTCCTCGTGGCCACGTTGGGAGAGGGGTCATGTCGCCCCTAGTTTCCAACTCTTAGCGATGCTAAGGCCACTCTCAGGGAGAGGAGGGCGCATTGGCAGGTCCCAGCGCAGGACTGGAAAGGGACTGGGCTCTCTGCTGCCCCCTGCTGCCGAGCCAGGGAACACCCCAGGACACAGGGCTTGTACCCATCCCGGCGGAACAGGTGGTGATCCCCAGTATCAGAGCTAAGGTAGAAGGCGCCACTGGAGGGTTTCACTCCTATTTCCCCAATCTTGCCTGAGTCCAGATATTGTCCCTGCCATTTCTTAGATGTGTGACCTGGGGCAAGTCGCTTTCCCTCTCTGTGCTTCAGTTCCCTCATATATAGGGTGGGAATGATAACAGGATCTAATTCATAAGATTGCTGAGGGAATTAAATGGCTTAATCCTCCCGTGTATGCATGTATGCAGCACGGAGTCTGTTCATGCAGCAGCGGTCTCTAACCATTAGCAATTATTATTATTTAGTTAGTTAGTTTTTTTGTTTTTTT